TCCACTTCCTGTTGACTCTTGTTGGAGGCCATTTCCCACTGCTCCAACACTACTCTATGGTCCTGCTCCTGAGCTACTACAAGCAAAACTAGTTCTGCAAAATGTGGGTGCAGGGTGGTCAATCAGGTGGTTTAAAATATCCAGTTCAGCACATGTAGAACAACCAGCTGAATTAAATCAGAATCAGAATAGTGACGTTAAATCCAGTTTTGCGCAGGGGTGTAAAATTGCATTCCAGAAGGGTTTCTTTCATGCAAAATTGTTCCTGCCCATTGGAAACCAAAACATGATTGGTTGATTCCTCTGTCACTTATGCTGATAGTTAATCTAATGCGTTTGGACTTCTCTTCAGCTCCTGAAGTCCTAACCAATAGAAAAGCTTGCTTGGCTATCTCTACCTAGATACCACAGAGAAAAACAATTCCTGATGGCTGATTTTCTGCCCTTGTGTTTCCATTCAGAACTTAACAGTGAAAAAAGAGTAGTACAGTAATACTTGCAGAATTTAAATATAACGATGATACTTTTGGATAAAAATTAACTAAAAATTACAAACACATTTTTTCAGGTTACCCAGAAATCAAAAGCCTTTTCCCTAATGATTTAGTCGTGGCCGGTTTTACCTGCTGGCACACATGATGGGAGGGCACATGATTCCACTGAAACACATGAAACACCTTTGCATCTTTTAAAACCGCTGCTTATGTAACATCATTTGACAGCTCATCATGCATGCATAAGAACGCTAACTGTAATACTCTTACGTCAATTATCAGACGCCTGCAATGGTTAGCATCATGCTGAGTTATGATGGAGATGGAGGGCTTTCCTACCCACCCAGAGAAAACGAGGCCAACTATGCTCTCTTGGACTCCCAGCCATGAAGGGCTAAGGCATTGCCAGGGATCAACTCACAATCTCTTTACTGACTCCTACACCCATATTTTAATCTTAAAAAGTGAAATAGTTACTGTACGTGGACATCAACACATTTGTTGTTATCTGCTCTTATCTTTGTTCATACGCATAGACTGTATAAAGCCTCACCATCAGACTTTTTTTCACACTTACTCTCACTTAATTATACAGACACCAACCCAAGTAGGACAATGAGCAACACTACTATCATTTTTAAGACACTCTCAGAAAAAAGTGTCCTAAAGGTGGTTCCCTCAGTCGTACATCTTCAGTACTTTTAGTTTGGGGCCATCATTGTACCATATTGTGTTGCAGTTCTAGCAATATTTGTTGACGTTACATTGACTCCATACACCGTGTCTTGATTCCAGCCTTTTTATTTGAAACTTTTAGGATATGAAAAGGTCCACACATACCTGTCCTCTGGGAAAGTGATTGTAGTGTACAGTTGTATGCAAAAGATTGAACATCCTCGGTCAAACTACATGTTTTGTTCAAAGTCAAAATAAGTTAGCACATCCTCTACAGGGAATTTTTTAAATATGCCAATATTTTCCTGCAAATTTTACTGCATAGTTTCGATTTATTTGCTGAGTTTAACATATCAGGAAAAAATAAAACATAAAATTTAAAATATGCCATCACTTTGCACAGGCCACTTTTTTTGTTTTATTTTTTCCCCCAATGTGTTAAATTTAACAAATAAACAATAATTGTGCGTTGAAATGTGAAGAAGTGTTTTCTCTGTAGCAGATTTTGTTGATTTTTTTAAAGTGAAATTTAGATCTTTTTTGCACTGCTTGTAAATATAGAGACAGTTGGGAGCTCTGTCTGAAAGCAGGATTTCATTGCATCCGCTGCTATTTGCTCCAAAAAGGTTTCTACTGATCACAGGATATATGGCATCTCCTCTGAGGTGTATATTCCTGAGTGCTTCCCTTAGTCACAAAGACTACTTCCTGTAGCTGCGTCTGAGGCCTAATTACAGGGCCTCAATGCTCCATTCGAGCCGTTACATCATTGCCTTGCTCCTCTCTGCACGACTGAGCACATATCCTGGTGCATAATGGAGGAATACACACGTAAACACACGCACGCACTTCCGAATATGCTCTCATTCTAGCAGACACTGTTTTTTCCTCTTCGGCTCTCAGACACAGCAACAGAAGGACTCTGTGGATCAGTAGCCATTAGGCCTCGGAGCGATCCTGGGAGGGACGCTGCTTCCTCACGCACATCACATGACTTACACACTCAGGCAGGGCTGTATGTGCAAGTGTGTATGCACAGCCATGGGTATAAGCATTAGGGAACCTTCAGGGCCTTCTAGGCCTTCAGAAGAACTAATGATTTCTGGAAAGTGGAAAAAATACATGTCGAATGTTTAGTTCATTTTTATTTAATATATCATCATGTTTGTGTATTTAAACTCTTTTATTTTACCCTTGATTTTAATCAACCAATCACGTTTTGATTTACAATAGTGGGACCAATTTTGAGCAGCACTCCAGGCAAGGAGTCGGCAACCCAAATGTTAAGAAGAGCCATTTTGTCCTTTCACCAAAAATCAGTCCACCTTGGGAGCCACAACATTTAATGTCCATTTTATATAATAAATAAATTTAGTACTGTTATTTTACATCTTATGAGTTGTGTGCCACAATTTCTCATTTGGCTGAATGAGATTTTTGCCAATATTCTGTAAAGCTTGTCCAATGTTGAGACAGCCGCTATGAAAGAGCACATTTGTAGGCGGAGCATGAGAATATCAACCAATGAAATACAGCTTGCACCCATTTAAATGTTTATGATTTACATCTTCGAGAAAAAATGACAAATCCTATATGTCCAAAAGTATTCAGACACTTCTAATTAGTGAATTCAGTCACTTTAAGGTGTTTGTATAATCTTTCTAGCATTGCTAATTAAACGAGACACACTGTAGCAGCTGTACATGAGCCTAAGGTCACCATGCCCAGTGCCAGGCATCAGCTAAAGGGATATAAGCCCCTCCAGCACTGAGCTGTGGAGCAGTAATACTGCATTCTCAGGAGTGATGGAGCTCCAATCATCCACCATGCATTCAAATCCTCTGAGCAATCTTCCAACATCTAGAGTAAAGCCTTCCCAGAAGAGTAGAGGCTGTTAATTATAAAGGGAAACAAACTCCCTCTTAACACCCTTGATTTTAGAAGAGACGTTAGAAGAGCAGGTTTTGGACATGTAGTGCGTATGGGTGATCTTTCAATTAAGGTGAAGTTCAAATTAAACACATGCAAGCATGTCAATGGCAAAATGAATCAAAATCACATCAATCTGTGTGACTGTATTGTAGTCATACAAACAAAGCGTCAAAGTTGTCATTATTATCAGAAACTATCGTGGATTAGTAACGGCATCTCTCACTTTTTAGAGAACAAACTGGAAGCCTTGAATTGCTAACCTAACTGCGCTACTAAGCAGTGTACTGGTACCCTTGATAAAGATAGATAAAAAGGGAAAATACGACAGAAATATAATTAATTAATTATTAATTACTTTAATTAACTACATTTTCTCAACAAATTGCTACTAATGTGCGATGTGAAACACAATTTTGTAATTTTCTATAGCAACATCAAACATTCTCACACAACTGAACAGCTGAGTAAGCTCATTTTATCTTTGCAATAGTTCATATTCAGGTTTACCAGCTACATTCATCACTGGAGTGATCACATTTTAATGTAATATGAAAAGAAAAGGCAAAAAGGCCGTTTTTACAATGTAAGAAAATGACAGCAAATATGGTCAATTATGGTCTGATTATGAGACTGTTGTAAGAATATTACAAGATTATTTAACCTGTTTATATATGTTCTTACTTAAGTAATTTTAACTAGTGAAAGTGTCTTTGGCAGATCATTTGCCTTGTTTCCAGAAATAATGGTTGAACCGAGTACAATTATCTGCCAATAGAATAAGGCGCTTTCATAAGGTACATTTCTTAAACTTGTAAAACTCTCTAGATATAAGCTTAACAATCTCATTATGAGAAACATTAGATATTCTGTTTACGTTTAAGATGTTTTCACTTGCTAAGAAATATTTTTACACTTTAAAGCATCACAGATTAAAAGAATGACAACAGGCTGGCGTCTGATTAGTATTAGAACTATATTATGGATTCATATTAATAGTCACACAACACTTTTTACACAGGTTTAATTCATACTTAAAATGCACGTATGTTGAATGTGTGGAATGATTGGGATTTTTGTCAAATTTTGTTAAGCTTGTCCAACCTTGCAAGAGTTGCCATGAATGCTTTTTTGGAAGACACAATAGAGACAGAGAGATGGAGGAAGAAGACTTTAGAGCTTTAGCCAGATGCATTTCTCTATCTGGATGCAGAGATTTTACTTCAGGGTCCAGAGAGCTGAGCAGTGCTCAGTCAGTTCACACATTCACACGTAGGAACTGAGAGGAACTCGTACACAGAGCGCATTCTACTATTTTGTCCATTTAAATCTCTCTCTCACACACACACACACACACACACACACACACACACACACACACACACACACTCACATACAAACACACACACGAGATGCAGTATTTAAGCCAATTCCGGCCTGCAGTGTGAGTAGTGTATAATTTAAGTAACAAAACAGGCAAATGAGAAGAACATCCAGATGATTACACATTCATCTTCCGCTTCCTTCCATCCGTTAGACACACACACACACACACACACACACACACACACACAAATGCACACACAACCCCCAATTAAGCCCAGGAGGATGCAGGCAGAGCGGCTGCTTCTATTTGCGTCTCCCTTGAAAAACTCGAGATCCATGAGGAAGAGAGAGAGAGAGAGAGAGAGAGAGAGAGAGAGAGACAGAGAGAGAGAGAGAGAGAGAGAGAGAGAGAGAGAGACAGAGAGAGAGAGAGAGAGAGAGGTATACAACCATGTAAAATGATCAACCTCCATTACATTGAACACTTTTCTTCCAGAAAAATTTGCTGCTGGCTGATTTTTATTGCCTTTTTTTCTCCACACTGTGTGGGTTAAAAGCACATGTGAAACACATAAGCATATTTCAAGTACTTTTTATTAACCATATCAATAAGTTTACATTTAAATGCCAATATAACAATATTTGCTCTTAAATCCTTCAATTCTGTTGTTACATTTATTTGATATGTAAAGAATGTGACCTAAAAGCTTTTATACAGTGATAGAAAATATGAAGAGCACACAGTTCGACAGGCTGGATGTGCACACAACATCTTTTGGCGCCAGATTTGAACGAGTTAAATGGATCGCTGGTGAGATGCTTGGTTCGACAGGGTTGATGGGCCAAACTGGCTTAAAATCAGTTGCCTGTTTAAACAATTTCAAATCAAACAAAGTGCAACGTCAAAAGCAAAAAGCAACTGGCTACTTGGCATAACACACTCTAAAAACTGTGGAGTTATTTTCTTCTAACCAACTCTGAGTTGAGGCAGCTGCCTCATTGTGTTGTGTTACTGTCACGGTTTTTTGGGAGGTCAGACTTTGGGTTAGTCGCTATGTCACAATAACAACCCAGCAAAGGGTTCATTTTCAACTCATAACAGCGCCAGTTATAAGCAGCAGCACAGAGTCAAGGTTGACAGTAATCAGTAGGTTAACGTCCATAAATTATATACAGAACATGCTGAAATACCAGAATATCTACAGCAAAGTTTAACAGTTTTGACAATTTAACTTTAAAAAATAATACTAAAAGTTTTATATTGATTTTATTAAGATAATAACATACTATGCAAAAAAAAAGGAAATTAAAAACAAGTAAATAAAAAAAATCTGAAAGTAACCCAATAAAACCCCCAAAAAACTCAAATTGGGTTGTTTTCAACCCAGCATTGTTTTGAGTGAGTCATGTATAATTATGCTAGGACATTTTGGTAGAGATGCAGCAGCAGCTTTCAAATACATTGCGATTGCGCAGCTGGAGCAAGAATCAGCTGATCTAAGCCAGTACTAAGTGCTTCCCTACTGATTCAGTTCCTGGTTAAATAAATCAAATGTTTACATTTTTTGGTTTGTTTGATGTACAACCCAGAACAGACATTCAGACATGTTACACAGGCAACAATGAAATGAAAAACCTGAAGAACAAAAGCAAGATCCACACTGTGATTGTGTAAAAGCATCTTGTCCTTCTGGAAAGCTGTAAAGAACACGGCCACAGTTACACTCATTGTTCAGCGAGCTTTAGCAAACTCGAACCCACCGACAGCAATGAATGTTGATTGTGACCTTTGAAAAAAAAGCAGGAGAATGGAGGATAAAACATCTCTTTGGCTGGCCCGAGGTTAGGGCTGATGCTGGTGTTGTTTGGTCCAGTCGCAGGGCACAATCAACGGTCGATGGTTTTTACAGTGTTATCATCAAACTCACCGACAGCGTTGAATGTTCCCCGAGACCAGTCAGAGGAAAGGAGTCCCACTTTTAACTGACATCAGCCTCACAAAGGCCCCTGAAACCAGTGTGAGAGAAACAGAAGGCATTAATAATTTCCTCATCAAAATGAAGAAACATAATCAGCTCTTTTCAGAAAATGATTCCAATTACTTAAACCCCGCTCATCCTTCAGTGCCCCACAGCTCACCTCATTTACCTGACATCAGCAATCAACAGCCTTCAAAGTACAACCTAACACAGAGGTTCTAACACTAATGACAGAGCGAAAGAAAGAACACAATATCACTCTACACTTTTTCACTCCACAGTGTTTTTTTAAATGATGCACTTAGTGGTAACAGTGGGCCTCATTCACCAGCCGTTCTTAACGGTTCACAAAGATTCTGACATTCACCAGTGTTTTCTTGTTTGGGATTTGTTCCTAGGTAAGAACAGAATCTACACACACTCAACAGCACAAAGGTGTGAACAATTCTGCGGTTTAAGAACACGTTATGAATCTGACGCAGACTTTGTCTTAGAACGTTTCTCAAGAATAAATTTAGGAAAAAACTTAGGAAGATATTGGTGAATGTGGCCCATTATTTTCTGTAACCTTGTATCGTCTTCTTTCATGTAACTCATTAACCTTTGTTCATAAAACTGTGTAAAACTGAATTTTGTATTGGTCATGACCTTAACATCTAACAGTAGCAGTAGCAGTGATCTCTGAAGACCAATAGTGTGAAGGACGCACTCTCTGAATTTCAGGAGCTCTCCAATACGAGATGTATTCAAACATGTGAAATACTCCCCCTTCCACCGTTGTTTTATAGTACTGGTATTAGATGATATTGCTAATCAGTCTCGCATTATGAAAGAAAATTGAAGGCCAGGCCATACTTGTTTGTGTAAAGATTTCTAGACATTTCACTGTTTCACAAGGATTTAACTTCTGAGTAATGTTAAGAACACAAAGTATTCAAGCAAAAGAGAAACAGTAAAGATAAAATTCTCTAAGGGTTTTGATTAATAATACCTGACGAGGTATTATCTCTTAATGAGAAAGTTGACCTTCCAGAAAAACAGGCCAAATTCACAAAAGCACCTCAAGATAAAAAATCTGCAATTTGTTGGAAACTCTGGAGTTTCTATGGAGAATTCTAAGATTTCCCTACATCTTCCCCCTCCTTACCGCCTAATTTTGTCCAATGTGTATGTTCCATGTTTTTATAAGAGCAGAATGGCAAAACAGCCTAATGGAGGATGATGTCATGATATTAATGGTACGCTGACAGAAGGCTGAAAGACCTTATAGAAGAGCTCTCAACAGACATCATGCTGCAACAACAGAACCGTTTTAACTGCTGAAAGCCTTCACGCAAGCCAAGTAACACAAAATCACAGAAATCAGCTCATACTCCAACCGCATACACCGCATTTCAATATTTGCATTTCAACCTTTTGAATAAGCAAAACATTTGAATTAGAAAAACATTGAGTTAGTTAAAAAGAGTGTATGTTCAGTTTAGGTGTGGACCTGATGTCTCTAGCCTGTATAGCTGAAGTGTACCCCAGAGCAAATCCTTAACATCTCAGGCTATGAGTGCTGATCTGGGATCAGTTTCTTCCATTTGACGAACAACAGCTCATTCTCAATCAGCACTCGTTCTCCATCCCATACGGACCTGCATTCTGCCCTTCATTCTGTAATAAAGCCTCGAAGAGGCCCAGGCTTCATTCATATGGCAGACAAGCACCCACCCACCTGCTGACACACACACACACACACACACACACACACACACACACACACACACACACTCCTCAGACAAGAGGCTGTGCTCTCATCTGTATACATTCACATTATCAATTCAAATTTAGTATAAAGTCTTTCATCCTCGTGATCTACACGCTGTTACAGGCACACATGCTAGCACATAAACATACACCCAACCACCCCCACCCCTACCTCCACCCACATATACACACACACACACACACAACCACCCTGACCACATATATGAACACGCACACACAAAACCACTCCACAACCCACACCCAAATGAGAAACAGGAGAGGGTGGGGTGATGGGGTTTGCCATGGCGACAGGAGTATGGGACAGGCATGCGTTAATCCACAGGACTCTTAGGGCCATGTGTTTGAGTGTGTGTAGGTAGGGAGGGGGTCAGAGCGGGACCCAGCACCCCCAGTCTGAACACACGGTTTGTATTCAAGGAGATTTCTGCTGCTCTGAGAGAATATAAAGGGCATGGAGGGAGACAGCTTACATGTGAGAGCAGTGCAGAGAGAGGGGGGTTGTATTTTTTGCAGTTTATGTGCACAGAACTGGCGTGAAAGGCTACACTGATTAACATAGGAGTGTAGTGCGTGCAGCATGGCGTAGTGCAGTGCCTTGAGTGGCGTGGTGATAGCATCTGTAAAATGCGATCTGCTCCAGAACGTCTCATTCTACTGGCAATGCTTTTCTATGAAGATTATACAAACTGTATGTGAACTGAACACCTGAACACCTCTGTCTCAATGAGTGCACCCTAAAATAGCGAATTCACTAATTAGAAGGTGTGACTGAATACATTTAGACATACAGTGTTTTTATTTAAACACACAGCAGAAATAATACTGTTTATAGATGTAAATTGTGTGTGTGTGTACACTGAATGATGTATGAACACTGCATACTGTGGCAACACTGTAACTTAAAGGAAGTTTGGCAAAAAATCAAATGGTCAGTTTTCCATTTAGCACAGATGGTCGAAAAGCCAAGACATGTTTGATGTCCAAATTTTGCTTCTTTAATTTAGAACTGGAGGCTAACAAACATTAAAAAACAATAGTCGCCCAAAATGGTTGCTGTAAATACATCCCCAAAACGTCTCTCAACCCACTCAAACTGCATCCAGATCTTTATTAAAGTTGTACAGACTTGCCAATGTGATTTATAACACAGTTATATGACTTATTGTGAACTCTAATAACAAAACAAAACAAAACAAGCACCCTGTATCTGAACACTGCGGTCAGCAATTTTAGGCAACAGGCTTCCTTCGCAGAAACAATGTAACACAGGTATATGGACACTACAGATTATGTTTGCAATTGCTGATGTTTCTAGTTAAACTGTTTAATCTTACTTTTCAAACTGAAGATACATGTTTAAAACGAGAAACAACAGAAATCTCAAATGTCATCTAGTGTCCATAAACCTGCTTTTCTGCAAAGGATGTGTGACATGCAAGCACGCAAAGGGGGAAGTGAGATTCTGAAGTGAAGTTGGAATTCGACATAACATCTGTCGCCTAAAATAGCATGAAGTCTAATTTATTTTTACAGCTCACAGTAAGTCATACTGTGTCCTAAACCACATCGGTAAGTCTGCACAACCTCAATGAAGACCTGAATACAGCTTGGGTGACTTGACTAGGGATATAACAATAAGCAGGTTTCACAATATAGTATGTAATGTCATTTTTGTATTACTATCTACATAAAAGTAAACAAAAAATGGAAACAATAAGACTGCACCTCAATATTAACTTAAATGAGAATTACAAGTTCATTTACAGTCTGATCTTGTTTCTATATTACGTGTGGCTCTGACCTACAGGCTGAAATGAGTGAGAGGGGATTTTCTAACACGGCTCCAGTCACTCCCAGTAAAGTGCAGAATCCACCACCGAATAGAGGTGAATACTGCTGAATAGACGTAGACTCTACAACTGAATAGAGGTGGACTCTACAGCCAAACAGAGGTGGAAATCCGTATCTATTAACATTCCTACTGAATGAGATCTGTTTCGCCTGTTCTGAATCGGCACTTAGCAAGTGCTAGAATCCTGTGAGGGGAAGCAGCTTCTGAGACTCATGTTTTTTTCCACATGGCTGACCTTAGCTTCCTATTCGGCAGCTTTTTATAAAAATTTTCTGTTCCACCTTAAATGGAGCAGCAGTAACCTGTAATTGCTAATGCAACCAACTTCAGCTTTGCGTTTTCTCCTCGCTCCGGGAACTGACAAATCTGGATGATGTCTTCACAAATGAGTTAGCATATTTTATGTTAGCATGGCTATTTGATCCACGTGTTAAGCAACGTCGGCAAACGCTCAATGTTCAGTCTACCACTCTTTACCCATAATTATTGTACTGGCCCGAAAAGCCTCTCCCTTTCAAACAGCTTGGCTAATCAACCATCCAAAGTAGGCTAACCAAACTATTTTTTTCAGTTCTGAGAGCTACGCAGTGGAGCTTCTTTTTCACATTTGTGGTTACCACTTTTAGGAATATCATGGAATGGGTTAAAGAGAACTATGGAAATCATTCCCGGTATCACATTTTACAGCAGGAAAACTGTAATCGTTTCACAGCATGTACTGTCTTGTGATCCCAGTACTGAAAAAAAACAATATATTAACATGCATATTGTGACACCCCTACCAGGACATCTACTTTTTTTAGTTCAGTTTAAACTAAAGAAGCCAAAGTTAGACCCTAAATTTGTCTTGGCTGAAGTACAAGTACATCTTGAGTAAGCAGAAAATTGTGTAAATTAGATTTTTTGCCAAACCATTCCTTTAATATTGTCAGAGAGAGAGAGAGAATGCCATGAGCAAAGTGGGATAGGGTACATCAATAATATAGTTCTAGTTTCTAATATAATGTACATAGCACAAACATTTGCAGTCACCTTTGCAGGGTTTTCACTGAAATGTTCAGCAAATTTTAAGCAAATCTCTGAAAAGCTGGTAAAAGAAAATGCAAACCAGACATGAATCTTTATTAGCTCTCGGTAGAGCAGTTTTGGCAGGCATCTTTTAGCTGTACATGGCTGTAGCTCTAACATTTCAGGCCCGCCGAGGGAAGGAATTAGTGGCTCATTTAATGAGGGATGAAGTCGCTGTCCCACTTCACTGTCACCCACTGAACTCCTGCAAAATCACTGAAGCAAACTGTTCTGATAGGACGTAGCGCCAAAAACTGACCTTTGTTCCCGCTGCTTCCGAACTTCCTTGAAAAACTATTTCCAGCACTGTTTTTTTTTCTCCTTCATTGATAAACCAACTTTTCCACCACATCCACACATAAAAACTTCTTTTATGCTGATTAGGTCCTTTTTTCTCCTCTGGTTTTTCATGCTTATTTTCAAGTATTAAACTCAAGACCTCACTCTTGGTCCCCACAAAGTGAGTAAACTTCTGCGCACATACACAAATACAGTAATCTACAGCCATTATAACATAAAGAGCCTAATACAGATATGATTAATGTAGCCTGAAAACCACTAGGTCAAAAATAACTGGCGCGAGTCAACGCCCCCAATCACTGTTTGCACAGCGCTGACTCAGGACCTTCATTATGCAGCAATCCACTCTGCAGCAAAGCCATAATTAAGGCCTTGCTCCCCTATGAATCATTTAAAAGCTAAATGATTTATAATTTAGAGTTTATTTTCATTTTTGCTTTTTTTTTTTCCTTTCTCCAGAATAGTCAGGCCTTCTGTCGGAGACAAAAGGGTCTCTTATAGGGAGGGAGGAGGAGAGACGTTGACTTCATAAAAAAAAAAAATCAGACTATTTATATATCTCTCAAACATAACACATCAAGAGACGGAAAGAGATGAAAAGAAAACATTTCTGAAAGGTAATAAATAATTTTGTTTGAGTGACTTTGAGCCCCAGTAAAAATAGTCCAGTGAGATACAGCATTAGCGCTGTCACACACACGCAGCCTCATGAATTACTGTGGTATACAGTCAATGCGTATGTATTATTAGTTGAGGGTGGTCCCTGTGTGTGCTGTGGGGTCCAAAAGTGTGCGCGTGTGTTTCTCCTAATGTCTTTACAATGATACTCTTAGGTTTAAGAACATTTATTTCATAGATGCTTTTTTCCATAAGCATAAACTAACAGAAACTTTTCTTCTACCTTGTTTGTTAAAAGCATTACGCCATCTTTTTGCAGTAGATGGTAGGTTGATTACCACTGTTTTTAAAAAAAAAAGAATAGAAAATTGACTTAGCACATTTATGACAGAGGTCAAAGGGCAGAAGCTGAAGCACCTGCCCACTGGCTTCTGCTGTAAGTGTTTTGCGGCAACAAAGAAATTACAGTCCATCATAACTGATCATAGGCTACAGATGTGGTGGACAAAGATCAGGTTGAAAAAACCATGGCGCATTCCTTTAAGAGGTTAAGGCTGAGGTTCAGTTTAGGATGGAGGGATTCTTACAGGATTAACACTACTGTACAAAAGTCAGAGCCCACCCATCATTTATGTAATTCCCATCTATTAAGTACAAGCTATTCACTTTTCAGAGAAATCTGCAGGGATGTTTTTTCCACACCTCCAAAGTTCAGTCTTAGAAGCTGGTTGCATTTTCTGCTTCTCATAATCCAAGTAATCCCAAACACATTGCAAGCACCTGAGGTCTGGACTCCGAGGTGGTCAGTCCATTGTTCTGGGAACATCGGTAGCATCTTTGTTCAATTTACAAATTTTATTCTTATTTTTGTTTATTTCCTTTTCTCAGCAATGGCTTCTTCACAGCTACAAATCCTTTGGGTTCTGTCATCACAGCTCTTGACAATGTGTTGCAGAAACGTATTGTGATTACAATAAAATTATGATTTTTATTATGCTTATCGTTTTGCACTTGTATGTACAGTACTGTGCAAAAGTCTTAGGAAACTAAATATATTATGTAAAGTCATTTCTCCTGGCAATAAGTACATAAATACTGTAAAAAGTAACAAGATTTTCTTTTTTTTATTGCCAAATCAGGTGTTGTATGGAAACAACAAATAATACTGGGCTTCCTCAAGGAGAGGTTTGGAAATGGTTAAACAAACACAGTGACACATACAGTTTTTTCATGCTTACTGCCCAAATAAATGGCTTTTTAAATCTCATCTTCTCTGGTGCCTAAAGTGTTTGTATAGCACTGTTTATGTAACCCAGAGTGAGTTTTATTATTATTATTGTTGTTGTTATTACCTGAGCATAGCCTCTGTATCTGTGTACAGTATGACGGCGTTCCATCTGACTTTGTCCATAAAAGCAGCTTTATATGAGGAGAACAGAATGAGACCATGCTGCAGCTGATGTTCTGACCTGTAGGGGACACACAAGAACATACTCTGTAAACCTCACTCACAAACATCCACCTAATGACTTTCAGACTGAGTGAATGTGGCCACTGCAAGTGGGTTTGGTATGATGTGGTGTGCTGTTACATTGTGGGAAGGGGGAGGGGGTGTGCTGGGTGTGGCTTTGGTGGAATCAGTCCTGCTCCACCACCTCAAATACCCCCACTGTTTCAAACAGCCGTCTAATCTCTTACACACATACACATACTAACATAGATACATATATTTAACTATACTGCTGAGAGATTACATTGACCATAATAATACTGTACCAAAATAACCCAGACCTAATCCTTACCACTAAGGAGGACAAACATTTCTACCAGAAACACTATTCGTACAAGACAAATGCATAAGTGTGTTATGCTTTTGAGGGTTTTGATTCATGGGTAATTCATATTTTATTCCAAATTTTTTAACCACTCTCACATCCTGTGGTAAACAATAATGTTCCAAATAGGGATGTGCACAGGTACTCGAGCATTCAGTTAACCGTTTGAGGCCACAGTATTTGGCTATTTGTTATGTATAAACACTGGAAGACGGAAAATATACAGGCTAACAATTCAGCTAAATGTGACGTTTTTTCTCATATTTGCAAGTTATGTTACACTTTTCTACAGAGATAGTATCACTGTATAACTAACAGGGTTAACTACTCTAGCTGATGTTCGCCAGGTCCAGAAACAATAAAAATATATATATTTTTGACAAATAACATGTTGACACATCATCCACTGTGAAGAAAACACATTGTGTAGAAGACGAATCCTCATCAACATTCAACGCAACACTTGTCATGTACGTTAGATTATCTGAAGAGGCAGCTTTTTTTACTCATCCAACATGAAAACCTACCAATTTCCTTTGGTTGTTCTTGATTAATAAAATACATTTTCAAATGTATTTTCCTCTATGCTGCTATATTTATGCGCAACACCAGTGAAATCAGATATCTGCTATTTTGTACTTATATTATTTTTATATATTTTTCCTCTGAATTATAAGTTTGTTTAGTAGTCAAAATACGAATAAAGCTAATAAAGCTAGCATAAAGACAACACCTGTTGGCCACCTCAACATGAAAAATGGGTAATCTAAGCAAACTGCACTTAATGAAAGCACTTTACTCACCCAGATAATGTTTTTCAGGTGTGTAGATTAATGTCCAAGACATGTTTGACTTTCAAAGAAATATTTTTTTCCATTATGACGTTTTTGTTTACTTTGACACACTGCTAGAATGATGGGCATCCCCTAATATGGCCCTCCACTGGTCATTTTAAGTTTTTCGTAGCTCATTATTATGCTTAAAAGAGCATATTGTGTTTACAATGAGATTAAGTTTATCCTCGGGGGGCAGCCTTATATACGTAACACCAGTTACCAAGTAACTACCACGGTAAACTTTTCACCCCAACTTTTCGTTAAGACTTTTACATCGAGACAAACAGCCACCATGAAATGGAAGTAGTGTTGTGAGTTCCTGCAGTTTTGTACATGCAGAATTACAAAAGTGTTAGTGATAAATAAATATTGTTTTCTGATGTGATTTTTTGCAAGAATACAGTTTAAATGCCCTACTAAGTTGGGAACTTATGTTTCTTGAATTTCCTCACAGTGATTGGCGAAGAGAGAGAAGGGAAATATGCAAAATGCAGAAGTAGCTGAAATTATGGGACGGTTGAAATTTGGGGGAGTCAGGTTACCAACACCCTTGCCCACTGAAAAGACACTGCATGAAAGTAAGTCGACTAATTAACTTCAACACTGTAGGCGACTACTGCCAAAGCAACTTAACTATTACAACTAATAAAGCCTAATCAAAGCATTACTGAGACCTCAGTGGTCACAGCTTTAGTCAACAGCAGGAGACTAGATTTACAGTGTTAATAAAAGCAGCAATAGAGTAAACTGTATTACTGATTAGCAGTGCTATTAATCCAATGCTACAATACTTGGGTTTTGTTAGGTCTGCTGGTAACAATATAGACTGGGTCTGTGTCTCCAAAAACAGTCACAGCATGCTCTCACTAGGTAGGATGGGAGGAGAAAAGGCCAGACAGAATGTCTGCTGAGATAACAGACTACTGATAGAATCTCCCAACAGCAGAGAGAAACAAAAAGAAAGAAGGACAGAGAGAAAGAAAGACAAACTGTGGCAAGTATGAGAGTCACTGTGTCAAATAACAACAATACAGAGTAAGCTCTGCTTTCAAGGCCGGGTCAGATGGCCTTGAAAGTAGAGTAGGGCAGTATGTACAAACCAAAGCAACCCCACTAGGGCAGTCCGCATAAACCAAAGCGCATGACCAGCGCCATCCATCAGAGCAAGCAGGAGCACGAGTCGCACAACACGCCACATCAAACTAATTAATCTAATCTGACAGAGCAGCTCCGTCACACTGCTCTTTCTGTATGTGTCAGCATGCACGCTCGGTAGGGCTCAAAGACATTGTGAGGAAGTCACATCATGTTATTTTGTTTTTGTGAAAAAAATGTTGCCCTCTTGTCTTAAGTTAATATTTTGGAAATGGAGAAAACATTCAATGATTGGTTGGATGCTCATTTGCATATTGCACGCTTTGGCAATAGCGGACCCATGAAAACAATAACGATTAAGGAACGAGACACCATGCAGCCCTAATGCTTGTAGCACGTGTGCTTACATCGACTACATTTGTCAGAGAGAGGAAGAGAAACAGACACATAAAGATGGTCCACCATTCAAAAACAAGAGACTGACCCAAAAGAGAACCAATTTACAGTTTTAGTTCTTGTTCATTTCATACCTGCTTGAGACACTGGAACCATCATGATAACCGCAGTTAGCATTTAACATAAATTTAGTTGTCTTTTGATCATGTGGTGCGTCTTAAACATCTTATTTGGCCAATTAGCCATCTTGTTTGCTAGTTAGCTTAACTCACTAGCTGATATAAAAATTGTTATGCGCACATAAACACTCACTCTTTATGGAGACTCATGTAGAATCAAGCAAAGCTTCAGTTTTTCTCTGCTGAGCGTGAAAATATGAGCAAAACACCTCATTCTGTAAAAGCTAGCATAAATGCTAAAAGCGTTAGCTTCCTAACTAACTTAACAAAATAATATTTCTAAAAACATCTCTAGTGTAAAAAGCAAACAAAGAAAAAAAAAAACCTTAAAAAACTTTACTTTTGACTTTATCTAATCACTATTTAGGAGAAGACAATTTTGAAAGGTTAAAGGTTCAAAACAGTTTCAAAGTGAAACAGAGGGGGAGAGTCAGAGAGAGAGAGAGAGAGAGAAAGATTAGCTGTCCTAATCGGGCCAAGTTACAGAGTGGTCCCATTATGAAGTTGGCCATGATCTAATGCAGCTGCAGTCAGGATGAAAGTCTAACTCCTATAGGCCTGCTCACCCGCTATTTCCAAGCCCTAATGCTGGAGTGGAACGCAGCCAGCAGTCCTGCTCTCCAGCACTCCTTGGCATGTTGAGTATTTGGCCTAAAAGTCAGAGAGCAAAAGATGACCCTGCACGTTTTACATAAACTAAACTGTACAGATATATAGGTGTAAAATCTGAAGGTGGTGATTAAGCTGCATACTTAATTAATGTTGGAATCAATTATAAACAGTTATGATAATATTGATCAAATATGATGTTTTTTCATTATGTATATTCAACTGCTGTATAAACAGCTCCTCATTTGTATTTCAATGTATTTTTTAAAAACAATTCTGAATCATTTCAAATGAATCCAGTTGTGGTGCAGATGAATCAAAGTGAGGTCAGAGATTCACATCCCTAACAGACATATACACCAGAAGAATTTCACAAATTTGATTTGTCATGAAAAAGACATCGTAACAATTTAGCATCAGCACTGTGGCCTGATTAATGGAAACACAACACAATCGCAGTCTTATCTCTCTTCAGTTCTGAGCTCTAACAGCAGAAACTAAAGAGGAATGGGTAACTTGGACAAACGCCAAGAGCTGGGAACAGGACACAGGTTTGTCTAGACAGAGCGTCTCTGACAGATGAAACACCATAACAATGAAATGAATGTTTGATGACAGGAGTGTCAGCTTTTTGTTATTCTAGCGCTTGACTAAATTAAAGTCAGAAAGAGCTATCACTGACAGTCATACTGGGAGAGTTCCTAAATAATTTTAGTGTTATGATTATTATAATAGAGGGTTCTGAGCACTCAGTCATTAGCCTGCACCAGACACTCACTGACAAGTCTTAACCTGTATGCTTAGCTTATCGCTGGAACTCCAGTAAGAACATTTTACGTGATAGACCTTGTTATTCAACCTGAACTATCTTCAACCCATCTGGGCACAAAACGCTTTATTTCACAGTTTGATTCAGTTCAATAAAAAAAGTCACGAAAAAATGGCGAAATAGGAAAAACACTACAATATGCAGGAAAAGGAGCCATTTGCTATGTGTTTTTCTTAACATGTCATTTCAGCGCTTAACTTTTAGAGCAGCATAAATCTTTAAAATAGTACAATATCAAATGTGTAGTAATGTAACATGTAAAATGATGTGAAATTGTTTTTTGCTTTGTTTTGCTTTGCTCAACAGAATACCATCATATAATCTGCGTGAATTGGTTCTTATCCTGTTTACACTTTATGGCGGCCATCATGTACACGACTAGATCTTAAACCGTTTTTTATGGGCAGGCAGGAAAAAGTCCTCACTTTAAGAGTAAGATCATTTAGTTGGATAACGTTTGCCAAAAACTGAATAATGAAGCAATAAGGAGCCCTTCTCACCCAGACAGGAACACATTAAGAACATTAGACTCTATTTCACACTTTGAAAAATGAGACACTGCCAGCCCGATGCCACTCTGCCTGTCTGCACTCATTCTCTTAGCCCCATAAACCAAGATGTAGGCTATTTCACCCCAATTCACCCCAAGTTAAAGATATTTGGTTAAACACAGGTGTGGCATGGGGACGT